GGCCGCTTCCGTGGTCCTTGCCCAGAAGGCACACACTGAGGGGAGTCCCTTAGTCCCTCAGCTCCCATCCCACAACAMTTTGATTTTCAGGTTAAACTCTTAAACTTAAGGCATCTCCAGATTTCATATGAGGGAATGTGACCCAATTTGACAATTATGCAGAACCAATGGTAGAGCGCGTAGATTGACACCCTGTAATTAAAAACCAGGACTTTCTAAGGCAACAAGTAATTTTCTACTGAAACTTGCTATAAATATAAAGAAAATAAAGCAGAATTATTGTTCTGGAAAGATGTACCCACATGTTAACAAAAAGAATAAAAGATGACTTTGTCATGTTTCCCTTATGATTAATAGTGGTCTGTCTTTTCTGGAAGCAGTATAGAGTTACTATTTGGTTACTTTAAAAAATTTTTTTTTAGTTGTAGATAGACACAATGACTGTATTTATTTATTTTTATGTGGTGTTGAGGATCAAACCCCCTGCTTCACACTCTACCACTGAGCCACAACCCTAACCCTATTTTGGTTACCTTTTGAGGTCAAGACAGTTCTCTTTTTTTTTTTTTTTAATTCACCACAAATTTCTGTTGTAACTGTAAGAAAATTGATATTATTTTGTATTCTTACTTGTGCCATTTTTTTTTTCAGGTAATTTGGCACAGAAATCTTCTTTGAAAAACTTTGTGTACTATTGAAGGATGGCATATGCAGTTTTGATTGATCTCTTTGATTTGAAGTTGAACTGTCAGGAAAACTGCCAGGAGACATTGAAGACATTGAATGCATCCAATACCCAAGGCCAAGTTCCTTTGCATAATGGGTTGCAGTAACACCAGCTGTGATAATTGTGAACTGGAAACAAGAAATGGATTGTTAGCTCTCTGGAGAGAATTTGAGACAGTTAATAATCCCAGCCTGGCTGCCTCTTTGTGTACCATTTAGCAAAAAAATAGATGAAAAACATCTGAACAGCATTAAGGCAATTGTACCTGCACACAGGCAAACCTTAATGAAGGCTTTTATTAATCGTCTCTTCACTGAGGTTTACAATTTTGAGTTTGACGATTTATAGGTGACTTTGAGGGATGGCCTTTGAAACAGTCCACTGAGATAAACACAATCACAGCTCATGAACTAGAAGAAATCCAGAGTGAAATAGAAACATATTTGAGAAGTCTGCCAGCATTGAAAGGAGAATTAACTATTATCGCATCTCCTTTGGTCCCAGGTATATTCAACATTCTYTGTTGTTTTTCTGTATATGTAAAAATCCAGTCTTTCTTAAGAAGTTGCTCACCTCTCCCCACCCTTTCTTTTGTTCACTTATTGTTTATTAGCATCATTTGCAATGTGTGTTATGGATGGCCTTGTGGGTCAGGGGTGACATGGGAAGACTCCTTCAAAGCCATACTAAATAAACAAATTTGTTCTAAACAAATTTACCTTTAAGCAAATTTCCCAGCCCTTCCTTACAATGCGATTTATAACACTGGAAATCTTATTTAGAAGTTCTGAAACATCAATTCATTAATACTTTGCCAGAAGGGTGAAATTTAAAATAGTCAATCTTCCTTCTTGGTTAGACAGTATTTACTGTGAGCTGTGTGCTGTTGGTATGAAAAAGACAGGTAAGACAGAAGATAACCTTTGAAGAGCAGTAATCCCATATGGAAGGTAAACAACAGTAGGTAATAAGAACATATGGAGGTACAAAGTGCTGTCAAAATTAGAAGTCAGATAAATAAGAGCTAGTTGAAGTGATCAGGGAGGTCTGCTGGAGAGACTGGCTTTTGTAATGCTTTGTAGTCTTTTGGAGAGCATCTTTTTAATCCTCATTACATGTCTTCAACAGATATTTTCATACATGGTTTTACTTCAAGAACAGGTGGCATATCTTAGCTCCTTCAATCTCTTTAGTAGTTCCAAACGAAAATATCTCAAGGTAGTTGTTCAAGAAAATGTATGTAGGTTGGCAAATACTGCAGGATTTAATGTAGAAAATTTTTATCAAATAAAGGTAAAATTTTGTTTCATGTTTTGAACCATATTTTTAGACCATACCAGTAACTACAACGATTTTAATTAAACTCTTTCACTTTTGTTTCTGGTGTTTCAGCTAAAATTTTAATAGTTGTTTTTCTTAGATTTATGTATCATAACATAAAGATCAATTTTATGAGATTTATAAATGTCATGAATATATATTTACATAAATCTCATAATATATATTTATATGAATCTCAGTTTTTTTCATATAGAGCTCTTCAATTATAAAAGTATGGTTAATTCTTAGTAGAGTAACAGTGTCCTTTTTGATATAGAAGAAAGATTATTGAATTCTAGGAAAGAAAAGCTATTATTTTCTAAAAACTAGCATCATAATTAAGGAATAATATCTTGTACCTTACAAAATTCTAGCTTCATTTGAGTCTAGGAAAAATAAATGTAATATTAATTTGATAATTAACTTAAGTTCTTTATTAAAATGTTAAATGTCTACTTTGTGGAAGACTAATACCCAATTGTCCTATGAGGTATTCACGATGAACTTTATTGAACTCTTAAGTGTTAAAACCCAGTTTCCTTTGAATAAAACATGCAGAGATGCTGCATTTAGTATTTTGTATTGAAATGATAGTCTTATTGAATTTTAGTAATTTATGCTGGTTACATAATTTTATGCTGAAATAAGTACTTTCAGAAATGCTTATGTTATGAGAAACCCATTTTCAAAATCTTTTTATCATGTATCTTTGGTATCAGACTGATCGTTCTACCACGCGGCCTGCGCAGTGGTTTCATTAATGAGGTTCTAGGCATAAAGTTAGTTAGACGAGATCGAAATAAAAACACAAGACTCAATTACCTTAATTCTATTGCTAGGTCCGAGACGGCTCCCCTCTCTGGTTCGCTCCTCTAGCCGCCCAGCAGGGCAGCAAGGATTACTCAGGGCTAGCAGGAGAGAGAGAGCGAGCACGCCGGGGAGTAGCCTTTTATTAGGGAACCAGAGATTCAGGGGAGAATTCCATCCAATGAAGGTTGAAGGGGGGCTGCACTCCAAGGTCAGGGTCAGTGATTGGGTCCCCGGGGTCAGTGGTCAGGCACACCCCCACACGGATGGGCTCTCTCATCAGGAGAGGGCCGGGAAAAACTTCGACTTATGCCAAAGTGCCTCAGACCCTCAACGGGAGGCACCCGATCACGTGTGAGAATGGCTCCCAACAGATCGTGCCAATGAAGTCTGGATTATGGGAAGGGAGGAGCCTGGATCTTACGATGGAAAACCTCAAACCAGAGAGAAATCACAATAGCAGCTCTTGGTGCTAATTGCATATCTATAGTTTTTGCAGATCCTGCCAAAAATCATGTGGAGTTGCTCACTCTGGTAAGTATATTAATTAAGCATCGAGAATTTTCCTGATATTTTAGTATGGGAAAAAAAATAAATTTTTCTAGTGGGTGTGACAGTTAATTATATTTGTGATCAATGTAATGATAGGGGTGGGGCCTGCGTACTATACTC